CCCGCTGCTCCCCCAGCGCCAACCCGGAGCCGCAGCGGCAGCAGGGCCGGCTGCCCGGTGCCTGCAAATCACCGGGTGGGAAAAAAGCCAGGAAAGGGGGTTGGTTTTTTTTAGCTAACCCTCCCCCCCATAAAGGGAGGGTTGGTTTACGCAGGACCAGCATCTTGCTGTGAAAGCCACCGTTTGGGTGGGTTTGTCCCTATTTCGGGGCGTTGGGGCCTATGGCTGCCCCACGTGTGTCACGAGTTTGCCGGTCTCAGCCCTGCCACCGCCCTCAGTCCCAGCTCGAAGTCCGGCAGCACCCGGGGAGGAGCCGGGGGGGGACACACACACAGCATTTGGGTGCACAGCGGCTCCTGGCAGCGCCTTATCTCTGCCTACGGCGGGGCCGGAGAAGGGCAATGGGGAAACTGAGGCACGGGGCCAGAGAGGGCTTTGGGGTGCCTCTGCCACTGCTGCACCCCGGCGCCTGGCTCGGTTTTGGTGAAAGTCCTGGCCCAGTCCCCCACGGGAGCAGGCGTGGGGTGACGGCCAGGGATGGGGGCATCATCCATGGGTGCTACGTTCCCCATGCCCCAAGAGCACCCTCGCCAAGTGACGTGGGTGCTGTGGTCCCATCGCCCTACGGTCTCATCACCCCATCGAGCACCCTCCATGGGCAATGTGGGTGCTGTGGTCCCCCTACCCATGGTCCCATCACCCCACTGAGAACCCTCCATGGGTGATACAGGTGCTGTAGTCCCTGTGGTCCAATGGCAACCTCCATGGGTGCTGTGGTCCCATCACCCTGTGAGCACCCTCACCCCATCGTGCACCCTCCATGGGTGCTGTGGTCCCCCTCCCCATGGTCTCCTCATCCCAAGAGCACTCTCCATGGGTGCTGGGGTCCCTTCACCCCATCATGCACCCTCCATAGGTGCTGTGGTCGCATCAGCCTGTGAGCACCCTCACCCCATTGTGCACCCTCCATGGGTTCTGTGGTCCCCCTCCCTATGGTCTCCTCATCCCAAGCGCACCCTCCATGGGTGCTGGGGTCCAATCACCGTACAACCACCCTCACCCCATCGTGCACCCTCCATGGATGCTGTGGTCCCCCTCCCCACGGTGTCCTCACCCGACTGAGCACCCACCATGAGTGTTATGGGTGCTGTGGTCCCCGTGCCCCACTGAGCAACTGAGCACCCTTCATGGGTGCCATGGTCGCCCTCCCCACAGTCTCCTCACCCCACCGAGCACCCTCCACGGGGCACACGGGTGCTGCAGCCCATCCCTGCTCCCAGCACCCTCACCCCCACGCCAGCACCCAGCCCAGTGCCTCTCCCATCGCCCGCCCCGCTTTTGGGGTGTCTCCCTGGCGCTGACCCCGCTTCACCTCTCCTCCGGCCGGGCCCAGGCATGCCCGCCTCACCCAACCTGCCCCGCCGTGCTTAATTAACCCGGCGGGCTTAATTACGTCTTCGTGCCT